GTGTGTGTGTGTGTGTGTGTGTGTGTGTGTGTGTGTGTGTGTGTGTGTGAGAGTGTGTGTGTGAGAGTGTGTGTGTGTGTGTGTATACAGTATATAAAACATTTATAATATTTATATAAATAATATTTTAAGATGTGACAAGAAATCTAGTTTAATGGTCATTTGGCTCTTTTCTTGTACAATATGGTTGTTGTCAGGCATAAGAAAGTATTTTAATCCATTTTATTTGCAAAAATATGGGTCTGTCTACAAATAGTTTACCGTGAAACACTGTCGCCACCAATAATCTAAGATTAAAGTAATTAGTCAGGGAACACTGAGCAAAAATACATTTGCTGGGATGCCAAGAGCACTTTCAATACTTTAGAGATTGTTCATGACTTAGCTAGGCTAAATTAATCTAACAGAGCATGTCTACTTATGGTCAAACAGTCCTTATGTACAAATGCCATGATAATGAACGTTATGAAGGAGGTCTGATGCAGACATGAGAGGGAAAACTAGAATTATACAGTATAACATTGCAATTAATTAGGCCTACAGCAATAATGTCTGATGTAAATCCTAAGAACAAACAATCTCAAAAAAGTCATTTCATTATTTAACTAACTAACAATAACTGTCTAACACTAGGCTGTCATGCCATGAAGTGTTAACAATCTAAATGTTGTCATGTGAGATGTATCCAGCACATGCCAGTGATAGTGACACAATGATCTCAACACAAGCTGATGTCAGTTTTTCCCATCTCTGCTTTTATAGGAGTGGACGTGGATGCCAGGAATACCGGCAAATTCCTTCGAGTTGATGACAACAAGTGTAACTTGTTTTCAGAACAAAAGCATTAGATGGTAATCGCCATTGTGTGTTATTTTGTACAAACGGTGTCTTATCAGTAATCATGTGAGAGTGATGCACTGATTCACCCATGAGCTGCAGAGAACTCGCTTATATAGTGTGGTCAAATGCTGCCATCTACTGCATAAAACATTACTAAAAACAACACAGCAAACAAAGATATTTCTACAACAGTGACATTATTTTGTCCCTATCACTGCCTGGGAGAAAAACTTAAAAAAAACTTTTAAAAAGGAGGTAGAAAGTTTCCTATTTTCAGAAACGTAAAAATTTTTTTTTGCATAATTGCATAATAGTTGCATAATTAATATTCATGAGCTCAGCTTTTGCCACTTCCACATTCGTATACATTTCCCTCAGATCTGTCGGGATTATTACATGTGTTCATTTCTGTGTCAGTGGTTAACTCTAGTTAACCCTCACTAAACCTCTGTCTATGCAGCTGTGATCAAACGTCAAGAAATGGCTGGACAGTGACAGGGAAATGAAGACTGGCGTTTAATCAATGCTGTTGTTCTGGGATTGAGATTTATTGATGATTTGGAGAAAGAAGAAGCAGTGAGGCTGTTTGGGTGACTTCGCTTTGACATCCCAGATACTAAAACGTAAAGAATAACAGTTTAACGTGATAGTAGCACGCTGGGAAAGGACTATAAAATAGAAAGCCATATATAAGCGAACACAAATTTACCATGGTATTACTAAAGTGTATTCATTTGATACCAGGCCTATCACTATACCATGACACGATTTACAGTAACTTTTAGGAAGCAATAATAGCTGGAACAGCTACTTCATAAAGTAAACTTCACTTTTGCTTAAAAAAAAAGAAAGATACACCGTGATTTTGTTTCTAAAAACCTATACGAGTCATCAAATCACAATTAATGAATTCAAATTATTGTGACAGACAATGCAACACCTGACCCAATCATCCATCTTTATTGAGAAGTTTAAATGTAGCCTATTTTGTTAATAAGCATGGTTATTAACATAATACCTATCAAAATAATCTAATTTTGTTTCACTCTCTTATAGGCCTTTCACAAGCCTGCCAAAGTGCCAGAAAGTTGTTCTTAACCTCAGTGTTGCTGGAGACTAAACACGTTTTCCATAACGTAAATTTACATAAAGGTTTAACTTATGCTTACCTGAGTCTCTCTAATGTTTGCATAAACGAATGCTCCAAGATCCAGATGAATGAGGAATAATCCTGGAGATTCAGATCTGTCAGTAGCAGCCACGCTAACATCATGAGATTTTTGTTCACTGTTCATCTCATCTCAGTCAGTGCAATGCAGTGTTTCACTGTACAGGAAACAATAAAGCTCTGCTGCATTTTTAACCTCACAATTAATATGAATAATAATGATAGCGTGGGAATGTACACAACACTTGGCCCGCTCCATGTGGATTTTCATTGAATAGCATTTGAAAAAATGGCAAATCGGGGCTTCAACAAACATAATATATGAGCAATTTGTTGTTGTGGTGTAGATGCATCCGCCAAGAGCATAGATGCAAATGTAAATCTAAGTCATGATGAAGATTCAGGCCACTTTTTGTTGTTTTATACTGTATCTTAAACAAGTACATATCTTTCCTCACAAACCACTCGAACGTTCTGGCATAGGTTACTACAAAATAGGATTCGAGAACATACAGGTGCATACAGAAATTTTCGAGCTTCAGTATAAGTTAAGCTCTATCATAAGTATTTGTCCTGTAATGTCCATTAACACATAAAAAAATAGTTTTGACTAATTTGACTCATAAAAAGTTACAGTAAAGCACTTACAACAGCAGCACACAAATTTCAAAATAAAAACACCCACAAAACAAGACTTGCACATCCTGATGTCCAAGCGGAGAATTGAATTAACATGGAACTAAATTGAGCGGCGTAATAATACTATTGTCTTCTGTAGAGCTGCTTTACAGCTGAATTGAATTAGTTTCATAACTGATGAACGTTGCAACATCGACACTTGTCATTTAAACTGAAGTGAATCGACACTGAACTGAATAGTGACACTATTGTCTCCTGTAGAGCTGTTTCTGGCTGAAATTGAAGTAATTTCATAATTGATGAATACTGTTATTTTCCTGTTTATCGCTGCTTTGAAACAACCTGTATTGAAGAGCGCTATAGAAATACATGATGCATATTCAAGTGAGACTAATGTGATGCAATCACTTACAGTATGAAAACTGTCGGTGTTCAATTTATATGATATATTAAATAATTTCAGTGTCATGACCACAAAACATCAATAAACATGGGAACATTTTCATGATGCATGCAAGGATATTAGAAAATAACTTTACATGCAGCAAAATCTACTTATATGAACTAATAGTAATGCATGACAAGCAAAAAAGGACATCTCAAATAATAAATCCAGTTTTTACTGCACTTAACAAAAACAAAATTCTTATGCCTGCTTTAAAACTCTTGTTTTACTTGCATTGCAATAACTGCAATTTCTGCTTTCACGATTATTTTCTATAGTAATCAACAGTCAAAAATGAGTCAATAGAGCTCAACTTGTATTGAACCCGGAACATTCCTTTAGAGAAATGAATTGAGCATGTTTTTTAGTCTCATTATGATGTGTGTGATGCATATTCGTAAGAACACTTTTCGTTAAAGGGCAAATGTGCACAGTGGTTGTGTCTCTTTTAACTACTTCTACAGTACACCCTGTGGCTAAAGTGTGAAGATGAAAGCATAACATCATAACTAGTTAGCCATCATAACTAGTTCTTCCGATTCGTTGTTAGCAGCAAAGTAATGTGGTCCGATTGCTTGCTCAACTAAAATGCTGATGTGAACACTGTGGTTCTCAAGCGTCTTCAGTGAAACACAGACATACAGAAGAGGATCTCTGGGTCTCTGGTTCAGCCTCAGGAGAGGAATTTCTCAACAGACTCCAGAAGCTCACTGGAGCAGTTCAGGCTCTTGAGGTCCAGTATTAATTTGTCTTCTCTGGTCTGCTCTGATGTCGGGACAATAATGATTTGTGGCTCCTGCATGTCTTCATAAAAAGCCAAACCATTGCTCAGGGGGCTCAGAGAATTACTCTCCTCTTGTTCCTCCTTGCACTCCTCCTCTTGTTCCTCCCCTGGAGTGTTTTTGGCCATGAGAAGAGGAACAGTGGCCATGTTGACGGACTCGGACACCAAGTCAAGGCCGCAGTCATTCAAAGAGCCGCTCTCTGTGGCTGCAGGCTGTGATGGATAAAACATTTACAACTATGCTTTTGACAGATGCCTTTAACGAGCATTCTTAAAAATGACGGTTCCAGATATGAGGTTTTAACAGTTATGCCATAGAACCACCATTTTTGGGTTCCTCAAAGAACATTTCATTGAACATTTCTGTAAAGAATCGTTTTTAAAGAAGCTTTTTCCACTATCAAGAACCTTTTTTTTTGCAATGGAAATGTTCAATGGATGTTAAAGATTCTTTATGGAACCATCAATGCCAATAAAGAACCTTTGTTTTTAAAGGGGACATGACACACACAGTTTTTGCCAACCTCATGTTAATCTTGAGAACCTATATGGCGTGCTTTTGGCAGAGCTAAAGAGTCACAAGCATGTGCAGCTTTTGCGTAGTGATCATCTGCAAGCTGTGACATCGCATAAATAAAACAGGGACAAAAACTTTATTTACTTAAATTTTAATCAATTTGTCACCGAAATGACAGGAATAAACACACTTGCACAACTCTGTTGCTGCCCTGGAGCAACAAACTGCATCCACTGTTCCCTTAACGCTGGACTATTTGGACGGTGGCACCGGCGGAATCACTTGCATTTTTCCTGATGACTGCGAAAATAACTTAAAATTTGTTATTTTTGATCATACACATAAGAGTAATACATCATTTGAATCTGTAACGGGTCTACTTTTATTTGCGTACACTCACAATATCAACAGAACATTGTGCTTTTGTAAAATAAAGAAAATAAACAGGGTGCGCTTTCAGCCGTCTCGGTCTCCACTAACTTCTTTTTGAAACACGTCACTAAAATGAACCCAAATTCAGCGAATACTTGACACACAGACACGAGAGAGATATCTATAGAAAGCTTGAAGTGTCTACTTTTAAATGAAGTAAGTCTTAGGGAAAACAAATATTCTCTGTAATCTGTATGAAACCAACACGATGTACAGTCTTTCCCATCTGAGCTCATTATCTGTAATGTGATCACGCCCACGAGCCGAGCGCGGCTCTTTATATGATAAATATCCACGTGAGATGTGCAAACATGTAAAAATCCACATCACCTCTGTAAACGAAAGCATGAAGATTCATCAAGTTCATCTTGGCAACTTTTCGTTTTTGTAAGAAGACGCGCTGTGAGGAATAAGCTTTGTATTTACCTCAGAAGAAGAATGCAATGCGATGCGCGGCTTGATCCAGTGGAGGAGATCATTCTGATGAGTGATTTATTCTATTAGTGTTATTGTGACATAAACTTGTAGCCCACACATTTTACTTGTTTGTTTTACCCACACATTGAGTCTTGTTAGAGAAGTAAAAGCGATTGCCACTGATGGTTCCATAAAAGACCTTTAACACCCATACACTAAATATAAAGGTTCCAAAAGTGTGTTTTTGCAGTGATGCCACTGAAGAACCATTTTTGGTTCCCCCACTAAACCTTACAGTGAAGTTTTTTCTTTTTTTTTACAATGAACATTTTAATAATCTAAAGAACTTTCTAAATAACCTTTTGATTCTATGGATGGATGTTAAAGGATCTTCATGACACCATAGATGCCAATAAAGAAGAACATTTATTTTTAAGTGTATAACCATTCCAATGCAAAACAAAAGTTACTTTAAAGTGGAAAACTATGCAATTACACAGTATGTAAAGATTCAGATAAGGAGTGAATATCTCCACAATGCATTATCAAATTATCAAAAGTTCTCAAATGTCTTGTCACCGAAAACATGCAACACATTTACAGAGGTAAAACTGGATGGAATCATAGTCTGACATTTTAAAATAATCTTTGTCCATCATACACAATGCAATTGTCTGTGAAATCTGTCATCTCTGACTACTCAGAATATGTCTCTGACTTTCAGAAACAAGAGTTGAAACATCCAGACTAAAAATCAGTGCAAAGGTCGTACAGTATATTTCAGCCTTTAGCAAACAACAAGTAACAGCTGGCATGATTACAAATGAATCACGTAGTAGAAAAGATATCAATTAAGATAGGCTGCAAATAACAGGCCTATAATCCCAGAACATGAACTGCATATCAACACAGACACATCTTGCCTGTATAACAAGAATAGGTAGACAGATAAAATACAATATAATTCATAAGAAAGAGCATTTGCTTTTCTTTCAGCCTGTTCTTGAAGTAGTGCATGTCTCATGCTGGTAAAATCAGAGCAACTTTAAAGATTATACTATAAAATGCACAGTCAATATTAATATTTCTGCTGTTGCACAAATAGCATATACTGTAAGCAGATTTTAGCATCATAAGTGCATTTATTTATGATTTGGTTTAACGCCGTATCAGCAGCTATGGCTATATTAGTGTAAAATCAACAGTATTATATCATCTAGTCTGTCTGGAATGACATGAAGAAACTGAACAAACTGAGACAGACTCAATCCAGAAGAACTGTGGCAACGTCTCCAAGATGCTTCAAGAAACCTCCTGCAAAGCTACAGTACTGTTAAAAGTTTTAGGCACTTGTGTAAAAATGCTGTAAAATGAGGATGCTGCCAAAATAATGTCATAAATAGATCAATTAACTTCTATTAACTAAATGAAATCAACATTTGGTGTGAGCATCCTGTGTGTTTAAAGCAGTTTTTGCCCTCGGTGCACTTGAGCAGAGTTTCTCAGGGAGCTTTACAGGTAGGTTTCTTGAAGCATCAGTTCTTCTGGATTGAGTCTGTCTCAGTTTGTTCTGTTTCTTCATGTCACTCCAGACAGACTGATGATGATCAGATCAGATCTCTGTGTGCAGCACTGCTGCTGTCAGACAATAATCTCACTGCATTATTACAATTAATGGCTAAATGAGTGTTTGGAAATGTAAACTGATATTTCCTACTGACACACTACAGCAAAATATAGACATAACTGACTTAAAACCAGTTTTTAGCTGCTGAAATACTAGTGTTCTAATCATTTTGGCCTCCACTGTACACCTGGTCATATCTATTTTTCAAAATATTAACAATAACAATATCTCCTTGATTTAGTACTGGATTTGCATTATAAATACAAAGCGTCACATTCGTAATATTGTGCATTCTGAATAGTGTGGTCATGCATTCTTGAACTAAATGATAAGACATTTCCATTATTCAGTCTCCTCGTAGTAAAATACTAACCGTGTCTGCGGTGGACATAGAGGAGACTCGCTGGAGCTTGACCTTTGACTGTGATGACTGTCGGCTAAGCATGGGCTCCTTGAAGGAAGACTCGCTGTTGGACACCGAGATGCATTCTTTACGTGATGACTGGGAAAGAAAATGCAGACATGGCACCTTCTCAGCCAGCGTGTCTCTGTGAATCAGTCAGAAATACACACTGCGTTACATATTGTCTCCGTATCGTGTGGCTGCTAAGGCGACTGCACTCGAACGAACCTGTATTTGGAGCGTACGATGGCGTAGATGAAGGGATTGTAGATGGCTGATGCTTTGGCAATCACTGCAGGAACTGCCTTGGAGTACGGCGTGAGAACGTGGCTGTACCTGGAACATAAAAACAATAACCAAAGCACATCTTCAGCTCTAGAAATAACACATCCCTGCCTCACAGAAACTCATGCTGGTCTTTTCTGCAAGCATTATTTGCTAGAAAACGTTGCATGAATGTTTGCAGTCTTGGTGTGCATCAAAACCCAGTTACTGAATTTTTTGGGTTACTGAAAGGTACTTGTCTGAATTTGTGATGTCAGTTTTACATTGCAAAAGCTGATTGTCTTGATTAGTTTTCTGTCTTGTTTTTCAGTCCAAATATCTAAATATTCTTAAATCAAGATACATTTATCTAAGAAGCAAAATAACTTGAAATATAAAGTCTTGCTTTCTGAGAAACTGTATCAAAATTAAGTGAGTTTATGCTTAAAACAAGAAAAAATTGCTTTCAGTGGGGTAAGAAAAATGATCTTGCTTTCCCTTTGAATTAAAATAATTTTTTGAACCCACTGACAAATTTTTTTCTTGTTTTAAGCATTTTTTCCCCAAGAAAACAATCTATCATTGCAAAATTGATTCTTTAGTATTTTTGTCTTGTTTTCCAATAAACAATAACCAAAGCACATCTTCAGCTCTAGAAATAACACATCCCTGCCTCACAGAAACTCATGCTGGTCTTTTCTGCAAGCATTATTTGCTAGAAAACGTTGCATGAATGTTTGCAGTCTTGGTGTGCATCAAAACCCAGTTACTGAATTTTTTGGGTTACTGAAAGGTACTTGTCTGAATTTGTGATGTCAGTTTTACATTGCAAAAGCTGATTGTCTTGATTAGTTTTCTGTCTTGTTTTTCAGTCCAAATATCTAAATATTCTTAAATCAAGATACATTTATCTAAGAAGCAAAATAACTTGAAATATAAAGTCTTGCTTTCTGAGAAACTGTATCAAAATTAAGTGAGTTTATGCTTAAAAAGCATACAAGAAAAAATTGCTTTCAGTGGGGTAAGAAAAATGATCTTGCTTTCCCTTTGAATTAAAATAATTTTTTGAACCCACTGACAAATTTTTTTCTTGTTTTAAGCATTTTTTCCCCAAGAAAACAATCTATCATTGCAAAATTGATTCTTTAGTATTTTTGTCTTGTTTTCCAGTATAAATATCCCCAAAAATCAAGATGCATTTACTCGAGAAGCAAAATGACGCAAATATTTAAAGATCAAAATGAAATGAGTTAATGCTTAAAACAAGAAAAAATATTTGTCAATGGGGTCAGACAAACTTAATTCAAGAGGAAAACAAGATTATTTTTCTGACACCACTGACAAATACTTTTTTACTTGTTTTAAGCATAAACTTATTTTTTCAGAAAACAAGACTTAATATCTCATAATTTTGTTTCTCAAGCAAATGTATCTTCATTTAAGAATGTTTAGATACACTGCAAAAATGTTTAGTATTTTATCTTGTTTTCCAGTCCAAATGTCCAAAAAATCAAGATTGCAAAATTGCTTACCTTTAGAATAAAAGTATAGATCAAAATACATCGAGTTCATATTTGTTATAAAATATAACAATAAAACAGAATAAAAATATTCTGGGTCATAAAAATAAACAGAATTCAAAGGGAAAACTCAATTTTCAGATACACTCACTTTTTCTTTTTTTTCCAGATGAAAGACTTAATATCTGAAGTCATTTTGCTTCTCAAGCAAATGTATCTTGATTTAAGAATGTTTAGATAAATTGCAAAAAAAATAAAAATTTTACTTATTATTTTTTGTCTTTTTTTCATTACAAATGTCCCAAAAAAATATCAAAATAAAGTTAAAACAAGAAAAAATACCTGAAAATATGGTTTAGAGACAAATAAACCTAATTCAAAGAAACAAAAACTAGATTAAATATATAGTTCAGTCATGAAACTCTAGATGGCGCAGGCTGACGGGGTGTTAACGTAACTGATGATATTAAGAGAGTTAAACAACTTGGCACAAGCTGATTGGTTCATGCTGCATATGCAGCCAATGAGCTTACTGCATTTATTTGGCTGGCTAGCATTCACTTGAGATTCCTGCAGCATGCTTTCAGAGTTCTTTGAAACCCTCCACCTTCCCCAGCTCCACCTGTATAGATCTGCTACGGGGTTATTTTATATGCTATTTGTGCAGCAGCAGCATGTCTTAAATACTCATGGCACCATATCGCCAAATGCATTGGCAGTAGCAAGTTCTTGTACTTTCTTGCAGCAGCAGCAATAATCTACATCTACAGCAATAACCAACAGCAGCAGCAATTCAGCAGCAGCGTAGCAGATCTATTCCGCCAAGACCAAATGCATTAACATTGTCATATCCATCACCATGCTAAAATGTTCCGTGAGTTGTCATGATTGAACTAGATATTTTTCTCTTGTTTAAGCATAAACTCACTTTATTTTGTCAAGAGTTTTTTCAGAGAGCAGCTTAATATCTGAAGTCATTTTGCTTCTCAAGCTAATTTATTTCGAATTAAGAATGTTTAGATATTTGAACTGGAAAACGAGATAAAATACTAAATATGAAAATCATTTTTTTGTAGTGTATTTGTACTAGGAACCAAAACAAAAATTGTAAGAAGATGTTTGTGAGCGGTCAGGAGGAGCCGGTGACCCCTGCAGTGGCTGTTTACATGACATGGAAGTGACCTAGAGGTGTTGTGAGCTGAGCAGAAAGAATCACATGTCTGATTATAACTATCCTGCAGCACACTGACGCTCTGACGGAGGTGTTAGCATCAAGCCGGTTCACCCTACGCAGTCCTCATCGCCTCAGTGAACCCAGCAGCCTTTAATTCAGCTGATTTTCAGCTGAAATTCAGTCTCAGATCTTCTGCGTGGTTTGACTCCCTTTGATAGACTACACGTGAATCTGAACACTTCTTTGAGAGTTTAGATGATCTACGTCGAACTGGCCATCACAGTTTAGGACCAAACTGCTGAATACAAATGTTTGTTTAGAGCATTTTAGCACTTCTACTTCCATCATCCTGAAGTCAATGGGTTTTTTGAATGGGCTGTTGGCTGCCTGAAATAAGATCTGTGGTGAACACAAGCTCAAGATATTTTCAAATTGCATTCTACGACATAAAATACATCAGTAATTCCACCTTGTGATTTTTTCTAAAGTTTTTACTTGTCTTGAAGGTAGTTGCTGACAAGTGGCTATAAATGGGACTACTGAGGTAAACATGTAGCATTGCATCACAGTCCAAACAGCTGATAAAAACATCACAATAATCCATAGCACTCCAGTCCATCAGTTAACATCTGGAGAAGACCAAAGCTGAAACACATCCAGCAAGATGTTTTTAACTAAATACATTGAGTCCATAATCCATAATAACGCTTCCTTCAGTGAAAAAGTGCATCTGCTGTTGTCTCTCACATCAAAATCCAGCCACATATGTGTTTAGAGCTGTTTAAATGCTGCTTGATCTGTGCAGATTTCTCTCCTGATTCACACCAGTTAAAAACATATTTGGCCGCATTTACACTCTTAAACATAAAGGTGCTTCACGATGCCATCACTCTTAAAAATAAAGGTGCTTCAAAAGGTTCTTCAAGCGATGCCATAGAAGAACCATTTTTGGTTCCACAAAGAAGCATTCAGTCAAAGGTTCTTTAAAGAACCATCTCTTTCTTACCTTTTTATAATCTGAAGAACCTTCTTTTGCCACAAAGAAGCTTTTGTGAAACAGAAAGGTTCTTCAGATGTTAAAGGTTCTTTATGGAACCATTTAGACAAAAAGGTTCTTCTATGGCATCACCGTGAAGCAGCTTTATTTTTAAGAGTGTAGAAGACCCTTTTTTGTCTAAATGGTTCCATAAATAACCTTTAACATCTGAAGATTATAAAAAGGTAAGAAAGATGGTTCTTTAAAGAACCTTTGACTGAATGGTTCTTTGTGGAACCAAAAATGGTTCTTCTATGGCATCACTGTGAAGAAGCTTTTAAGCACCTTTATTTTTAAGAGTGTACACTGCTAGTCTTAATGCACAGATCCCATCTTTTGACCATATCCTATTTTTTGGCACCACTTGATTACATTGACTTTAGACACGACTGGTATCCAATATCTGTTTAACCAAAAGGATTGTCTGCAGTGATCGCTTTACTATGCACATGATGGTTTTAAATGGCCATGCTATTAAAATTAGTTATATAATTCACATCGAGTGGCAATTGTAAACACAGCCTAAATGCTGGATTTGTTTCATCTTTTGTCTTCTCCAGATGTTAACTGATGGACTGGAGTGCTGTGGATTACTTGTGGATTATTGTGATGTTTTTAGCAGCTGTTTGGACTCTTATTCTGACGGCACCCATTCACTGCAGAGCATCCATTGCTGAGACACTGATGCAATGCTACATTTCTCCAAATCTATCAAAATAATAACTACACATCTGCATTTAGTTCTATGTACTATGCACCGGAAAACAACTAACCAACAGTCAAACCAATGACACAAAACTCATTTCAAGCAGATGCCACTAGCACATCTTGGCGTTCAAAATTGTGTTTTAAAACAAGCAAAAATATCTGCCAATGGGGTAAGAAAAATAATCTTAATTCAAAGGCTAAACAAGATGATTTGTCTTGCCACATTGGTAGATATTTTTGCTTGTTTTAAGCAAAAACTAACAAAATGTTGATAATTTTTTTTAGAAAACAAGACATAATATCTTAAGTCTTGAATCAAGAATATTTAGATATTTATACTAGAAAACAAGACCAAAATGCTAAGAGAATAATTTTTTGCGTTCCCAAACAGCAGACTCCGAAAATAAGATAACATGACCACGTTTCGTCTGCGCGCTCAGAAGCTCGTAATTTATTGTGTGCAAAAATTATTATATACAGTGCCTTCTCCTGCTGCAGCAAATACTTTTTTCTTCTTTTTTTGTTTTGAAGATTTTGTTTTCTTTAACTTACTGGATGAAACGGTGCATTATTCGCAAATGCTTTATGCGATATTCCAATTTTAATTCGTAACTTTGGATGGAAACATAGCTATTGATAGTTACTGTACCCTGCCCAGGCGATGAGAGTGACGCAGGCGTAAGGAGACCAGGACAGAACGAACACAATGATGACCACGAATGCGATCTTCGCCAGCTTCCACTCGGTCTTTATGGATTGCTGCTGGATGAATGCTGTCTTCCTCACATGACTGCCCAGGTTCTCCACATCTCTGAACACACAAGAAGATGGATGATGGGACTTTTTTCCAAGAATGACATGTACAGCATGTGGACATCCCAGTTAAGGGATGCCATGACCTGTCCTGATCGTTTATCTTGGCGATCTTGATACCAATAGGCAAGAGTATGTGGGCATGTGCAGAAAAAAATACAGCGTATGGACAAATATTTATGTCTCCACTGACTCTATTCTGTTTTTTAAAATATGTGACCCTGGACCACAAAACCAGTCATAAGGGTCAATTTTTTTAAATTGAGATTTATACATCATCTTAAAAGATGAATAAATAATATCCCCCAGCGACTTAACACTGCTTTTGTGCTGCAGGGTCATATCTTAAGAATTGTTGTTCATGGTGTTTGGAGCAGGCAGCCGAACGTTTAGTGATCATTTAACATGACTGAATGAATTCTAGGCACAAGTTTTAAAGAAAGCGCACAATCATTTAGATCAGACTACCACTGATAAGCTACTACTAAATATAATGTAGAAACTTTCAAATGGAAACTTACATTTTCTGTAAAGCTGCTTTGCAACGATTTGTATCGTGAAAAGTGCTATACAAATAAACTTGAATTGAATTGAATCAAACTCAATATTTACAAAAGATATTTTATAACATATACATTTTTACAGATGACATACTGAAAATAATGCTGAAAATAATGTCAAATAATGCTATCAATACTTTAGGGGTGTGAATGCCTGATAATAAATTAATTGATCAGTGAATTTATAAAAAGTGGTAACCTGCAATCATCATCTTAAATATATTTCCACCTGATTTCACCTTAAAGAATAGTTTTGTGGGTATCAATGCATGCATTTAGGCTCAAATTTTTGGCTTGAACTAAACCAGTTAAATAAGATGTTATGGTTTTTCGGTTATAGGTTTTTTTTTTCAGTGTAGAGCAAACATTATTATATTGGACAGTATATTAAATATTAAAATAATAAAATAATGCTTTCTAAATAAATGTAATCAGTGAGAATATTAATATTAATTATAAATCTGTATAATGTTAATTTATGTAAATTACATATATAATGTGCATTTAATGTATATAATGTAAATCAATGTAAATAATATGTATAACAATATTTAAAATGCATGCAGTCAGTGAAAGTGTGAAAGCTCATCAGATGTAATCCTGTAGTTTAGCATTGCAGCTTTAATACAATTCTTTACATTGAACTTGTCTGGGTTTGATGTAAAAACTAAAACCATTAAAAATAATAATAATAATAATAATAATAATTATAATAATAATAAAACAACTTGAAATAAACTTAACATTAACTTAAATAAAATAAAACATATATTAAAATTATAACTCATTTTCATTTAAGTTGAAGTACTAAAATAACTACAATTAATAAATAAAAATAAACCTACTGTATATAGACTTTTTTTTTACTAAAACTAATAAAATGACAAAAACACCCAACAAAATTACTTATAATTTAATTAAAATTCAAATGAAGACTGAAAATAAAAAAATAAAATCTGATGCAAAATATTAACAAAAACTTAAATAGTATATCAATTATACTAAAATAACACTGGCTACTGTTACTACTTTTTTGCATTATTGACACGCTATTTTCCTATTTAATACTGTAAAGTTGCTTTGACACAATCTGTATTGTTAAAAGCGCTATATAAATAAAGGTGACTTGACTTGACTACTGTAGCTACAATTTTCCAACAATTATTTGGCAACAAACTATAGTCAGTATTTAGCATGCATATAAAATGATTTTAAAGCCATTTATCAAATATAGTGAAAAATCTACAAATAAATCTGAAAAGGTATGAGATGTTGAAATAGAAAACGTGTAGGAACCTGCTTGCATTCCGAATGGCGAGGAACATGAAGAAGTAGCAGTAAGAGATGATTCCAAGAGGGATGAAGAACACAAAGCAGCAGAGCATCAAGGTGTAGCTCTTGTTCACCGGCGTGGACGTCACATAGTCCCATGTGCAGGACGTCATGAGGCCTTCTGGGATATAGGAACCTGTCCAAGAAATACAGAGTCAAGAAACTCAAAAAACATTGACGTCTCATCCAAAGGCAAAGGAAAGACATCCGAATGGCGAGGAACATGAAGAAGTAGCAGTAAGAGATGATTCCAAGAGGGATGAAGAACACAAAGCAGCAGAGCATCAAGGTGTAGCTCTTGTTCGCCGGCGTGGACGTCACATAGTCCCATGTGCAGGACGTCATGAGGCCTTCTGGGATATAGGAACCTGTCCAAGAAATACAGAGTCAAGAAACTCAAAAAACATTGACGTCTCATCCAAAGGCAAAGGAAAGACGTTGCACCTAGTGTCAATTTCGTCAACTAAAACTATGACGAAAAATGTTTGTTGATTAGTTTTTAATCTTTTATTATTTATTGTTTTAACATATTTAACTATTTTATTAAATGTCATTATTTTATTACATTTTAATGGAAAAGTGTGTTTTATGGTTGGTCACAATTGTGACCGGTGGGATAATGTGTATACTGAAATTAAATTATTTCTGCAGCCATCAACATTTTTATATATATCTCAGCCCAGTTATTAACCCATTTTAGTCTGTTTCATCACATTCTGTGGTTACTATTATACATAAAAGCTCTTATACAACACTGAATAGGTATACTAAGATACAAAAAAACTATTGTTGCCATCAACATGTTTACTCATTCTATGTCCACACTCAACAAAACTGAATAAATGTGAATTCATATATTAATACTAGAGACCTTCAATTTCGTCAACTAAAACTATGACGAAAAATGTTTGTTGATTAGTTTTTAATCTTTTATTATTTATTGTTTTAACATATTTAACTATTTTATTAAATGTCATTATTTTATTACATTTTAATGGAAAAGTGTGTTTTATGGTTGGTCACAATTGTGACCGGTGGGATAATGTGTATACTGAAATTAAATTATTTCTGCAGTCATCAACATTTTTATATACTGTATATCTCAGCCCAGTTATTAACCCATTTTAGTCTGTTTCATCACATTCTGTGGTTACTATTATACATAAAAACTCTTATACAACACTGAATAGGTATACTAAGATACAAAAAAAACTATTGTTGCCATCAACATTGTTGGACTCATTCTATGTCCACACTCAACAAAACTGAATAAATGTGAATTCATATATTAATACTAGACACCTTAAAGATAATGTTGTCTCATCCAAAGGCAAAGGAAAGACGTTGCAACTAGTGTCAGTTTTGTTAACTGAATAAATGCACTTACTCAACCGCTGTTGCTTTAATAGAGAAACAGAGGCTATTGCAATTTGGAATTACTATTAGGAATTTCACTGTTATAACATACCGTATATATATATATATATATTTTTTTTTTACCAGTTTTCATATTGTAGACAGAGAGAGTGCATAAGTCTGATATTAATTTTAAAAAGCCTATAATAAATCAGTGCACTACTATATGACGTAAAATAAACCATGTGTTTTTAATAGAGAAACAGAGGCTATTGCAATTTGGAATTACTATTAGGAATTTCACTGTTATAACATACCGTATATATATATATATTTTTTTTTTTTTCATATTGTAGACAGAGAGAGTGCATAAGTCTGATATTAATTTTAAAAAGCCTATAATAAATCAGTGCACTACTATATGACGTAAAATAAACCATGTGTATTAGTTGATATCTTATTGATATGATCTTATTGGTGAAAGTGCAATTGATAAAATCCTAAAATGCAAAAGTAAATTTCTCAAATGACAATCATTACGATTATAATTTTGAGCAAAAATTATTTTTGATCAGTTTTACCAATTACACAGCATGAAGAAAATGTGACCAAGATTTCATTGTCTGAAACTAGACTATAACGCTCAGACATTTTGTTGACTAAAACTTGACTAAACAAAAACAGGACAAGGTTGACTAAATATGATAATAACTAAAATGTACATTTGAGTAAGACTAAGACTGAAAGAACTGGCCCCCCGACTGAGCCTGGTTTCTCCCAAGGTTTTTTCTCCATTCTGTCACCGATGGAGTTTTGGTTCCTTGCCGCTGTCGCCTCTGGCTTGCTTAGACACTTAATTTCCAGCGATATCATCGACTTGATTGCACAGATACTATTTAAACTGAACTGAGCTGGATGATGAACTGTTTGTAACTGAAAATGGAACGTTTACTATTGTCCTTCTGCATTATTGACACATTATTTTCCTATTTAATACTGTAAAGCTGCTTTGACAAAATATGTATTGTTAAAAGCGCTATATAAATATTTTGTATATTTTATATTTGATTTATATTTTATATAAATCTGCTATATAAATAACAGATTTTATTTGACTAAAACTAGACTAAAATACTTCAGATTTTATTTGATGGAACTTCGAACTGCGTCCTCTAGGGGTCGCTATGGGAAACGCCTCGTCGTGACCCGTGTCTAAAGCCTACATTGAAAAAACACCAGCTTGTTTGGCCGGTGACAGCCATGACGTCACTACCGTCGTGACTAGTACAAAATAGGCGCCGGTAGCGCACATCATTCTCTTCTTCGTCTTCACTGACCGTGCTGTTTGAAGCGTGCATTCCAAAAAGCAAAGTAAGAGCTTTCTTTTCTTACTATGGAGAGCACTAGCAAAGCATTTAGAAAGTGTGCACATCCGTGTCAGCGGTTTCTGACACCCGATGATTCACACAATCTATGCATTGTTTGTTTGGGCGAGGAGCACGCACGCGATGTCCTCGAGGGGGCAATCTGTGTGCACTGTGAGAGGCAACATCTACCCTGTCCTCCCCTTTTTCCAATTCCCGTTTTATGACCACCATCTCCAGCTGACCGAGGTTAGCTGTACAATCATTTTTCAAACAGTCTCCTACTGGGCCCATGATGTTTTTGGTGGTTCTATGGCCAGATCATAGTAACCGCCTGACTGATGGTCCGGTCAAAAAATCCCCGGACAGAGCCCCGGCAACAAGGCTCGTGGTGGGTGAGTATGATCCATATATCATGTGTAAAATAACCATAGAGCATGTATAAAGTTACCTGCAGTGGATGATCCGGTCAGAAGATCCTCGGAGCAGAGCTCCAGCACAGAAGTCATGGGGGTGAGTACGATCCAAATATCATGATATCTGTATATCGAGGACAGACCGAGATGGCTGTGTGTGTGTAACCTTCTATAGTTCCTTGCAGTGTTTCCCCGGACCTGTATGTTTCTGTCCCTTGCTAGACGCCCTAGATGAGGTGCCGTTGCAGGGCTCTACTTGCAGCAAGCCAGGTGCTCTACTTGCAATAGGCGTGTCACTCGTCGACATATGTCCAAACGGTAAGAAAAGCCGGGCTTCGGCTTCATACCTCCTGGATCATGCGGCCGAACACGGGCTTTTGCGGGAGCCTTTCGTGAACATCTGGCCCCCGGTGCTACACTTCAAGGCACCTGGACTGGGCTACAGTGCCTGGTCGCCCCGAGGTTGCTGAGGCAATGAACGGGAGGTACAGGGGGTACAGGGGGGCATCACCAGGATCCTCCTGTGTAAGGCTGTCTTAGGCAGGGCTCCCATCACCACTGAGATGTGCGAGCCGGCCTCTTCCCCGGCGTACTCCTTCTTGCTGAGGCAACGAACGGGAGGTACAGGGGGCATCACCAGGATCCTCCTGTGTAAGGCTGTCTTAGGCAGGGCTCCCATCACCACTGAGATGTGCGAGCCGGCCTCTTCCAGCTGGCCGATATGGTGGGTTTTTTCTATGAACTTAAATTCCAGATAATATAGTAAATGTCCGCATAAAGCAAGGCTTTGCGCATTTCTCTAAATCCACGCACGGGATTCTTTGCCCCTTTCTCTAAAATCCTGTGAAGGTAAGGGTTACGCGGGCTGTCTTCGTTCCCTTTGTTTCAGAGTGGGGTAACACCCCGGTACCCTGGGTTCCACTCAAATAGTGTGTCTTGGTTGACACACCCTGGAGACATCACTCCCCTCACCTCTGAGGAGGGTGCTGGAGCTGCTGTTGCCGACCGGCCATTACGTCCAGGTAACTATAGAACCCTAAGGAAATCCAAAGATTATGGTAAAAGTGCTCATTGCGCACCTTCTAAAATCCACATGAGTGGTAAGTGCGCACGTTATCCTTTGCCACTTTTCTAAAAACCACGTAAGTGGTGAGTGGGAACGTTAGGCTTTGCCACCCGTCTAAAATTCCACCTAGGTGGTAGGTGTGCACGCTATGCTTTGCCACTTCTCTAAAATCCCACGAAAGTGGTAGGTGCGCACGTTCTTCTTTGCCCACCTCTCTAAAAATCCTGTACGGTGAGGGTTACGCGTTTCGGACTTCGTTCCCTGTTTCGGAGAGGGTTAGACCCCGATTTCCTGGGCTCCTCTCAACCAGTGTGTCTCGATCGACGCACTCAGGAGGCACTGCCCTCTTCGATATCAAGGGGTACCAAGAGAGTGTCATCTGGCGAGCAGGATCCTCTCCGAGGAGTTGAATCCCTCGCTCCATGGGCTGTCCTCGTGGTAATGTTGAGCACTGCTCCCCTTTCA